TAAACAACACAGGATATTACACATCTACAAGATAATAGCTAGATAGACAACATCACCCTTGCAGGTGTTTGCTAATAGATATGTCTTCAGATCAGTTTTAAAAGACTCCAGTGATTTGCTGTTTCTATGAGCAACAGGAAGAGTGTTCCAAATTGTTGGGCCATCAAATACAAAAGTGCGCTCCTCGTAAGTCTCATGGCGCACAAATGGTATCGAGAGTTTGTCACTATCAAATGAGCGGAGTTGTCTAGTGGGAGCATAAGGCGTCAGCAGCTCTTTGAGATAGGACAGTGCCAGATCATGCAACCAGCGGTAGCACAGGGTTGCAATTTTGTACTTTATGAGAGTGCAGAACGGCAGCCAATGCAACTCTCTCAGAAGTGTTTTAGCATGGGTGAATTTGCGTTTTCTAAAAAAAGTGCGATCCGCATTATTCTGAGCTTTTTAAATTTCATCCAGGAGCGTAGCTGGAAGACCAACCATAAGAGCATTGCAGAAGTCCATGCGTGATTGCACGAATGCAGACATGAGCTTCTTTGATACATCTAACGTTAAGAAAGATCTGACATGACTAATTACGCTAAACTCTAAAATAATCGCCTTGCAAAACGTAGTAATGTGATTTTCTATAGTAAGTGTCCTGTATAAAAATACACTCCGGTTCCACACTGTTTGAGCAAACTCGATCTATATACCTATAGAGAGTAAGGGTTTGTGTGTTATTTATATATATTTAACTTGTTAGCGGTAGAAATGGGGATTATCTCGGTCTTTTCATCATTCAGTTTAAGTTTGTTTATAATATTTCAGTGCTTAACTGACTCCACTGTGTTCTGTGTCGCACTAAGAAGTTGAGAGAACTGAGAAAAGATCAGGAATTCATGAAGTTGTGTATCGTCCGCGAACTTGGGATACATCATGTTAAACTGCTTGATCACTGTACCCAGTGCTGAACGTACAAAGTGAAAAGGCCTAGGACCGACCCCTGGGGGTACTCGAAGATTGCTTCGAGGTCAAGCCGTATGCCATAACTGATTGGACCCGATTTGTTAGAAACGAGCAGAACCATTTCAGGACGGTATCAGTTAAACAGAACATTTTTGTAGACGTTGGAGAAGTGTGACGTGGTCAAATGTATCGAACGCTGCCGATAAATCGAGTAAACTCAAAATGGAAACCTTGCCCTCATCACAAGACGACAGAAGTCGTGTACGACGTGCAACAGGACTGTCTCAGTAGAGTGATGCACCATTGCCCTGACCATCTAAGCTCAATGATTTAAATGGTTAAGTAGTCTCTGGTGTCACGATCTCCCTTATGTTCAGTGATACTTTCTCAAATGTTTGCAATACCTCTTACACCAGCTTTTTTTAATGTGCCGAATGAAACTCTACAACAATGCCATACCTCTAACATCATCTTGTTTAAATGTGCTATGGGAAGCACAACAACATTGCCATACCTCTAACATCATCTTGTTTAAATGTACTATGGAAGCACAACAACAATACCATACCTCTAACATCATCTTGTTTAAATGTACTACTGGAAGCACAACAACAATGCCATACCTCTAACATCATCTTGTTTAAATGTGCTATGGGAAGCACAACAACATTGCCATACCTCTAACATCATCTTGTTTAAATGTACTATGGAAGCACAACAACAATACCATACCTCTAACATCATCTTGTTTAAATGTACTACTGGAAGCACAACAACAATACCATACCTCTAACATCATCTTGTTTAAATGTACTACAGGAAGCACAACAACAATGCCATACCTCTAACATCATCTTGTTTAAATGTACTACGGGAAGCACAACAACAATACCATACCTCTAACATCATCTTGTTTAAATGTGCTACAGGAAGCACAACAACAATGCCATACCTCTACCATCATCTTGTTTAAATGTACTACAGGAAGCACAACAACAATGCCATACCTCTAACATCATCTTGTTTAAATGTGCTATGGGAAGCACAACAACAATGCCATACCTCTAACATCATCTTGTTTAAATGTACTACAGGAAGCAATACAACAATACCATACCTCTAAAATCATCTTGTTTAAATGTACTACAGGAAGCACAACAACAATGCCATACCTCTAACATCATCTTGTTTAAATGTGCTATGGGAAGCACAACAACAATACCATACCTCTAACATCATCTTGTTTAAATTTACTACAGGAAGCACAACAACAATACCATACCTCTAACATCATCTTGTTTAAATGTGCTATGGGAAGCACAACAACAATGCAATAACCAAAATGAATCCTAAATTTAACTTAAGTAATGACAACTAAATTATTTATTAAATGTACTAACTTATGTGAAATTAAAAATAAAAATAATAATAATTTAGGAATTTTTTATAAAACATGAAATAGAACAACCTATAAGATATGCTATAAAATATAGATGGCTGTTCCACTAAAATGACTATTCAATGAACATATGCAAGTATACAATTAAGAGACACTACAGTCAATTATAGAACAAGCCCACAAACAAACAAGTCCACAAACTTTCAGTTATATATATATACATATGATATAATATAGCCAATATACCCAGCGTTACAGGGGATTACATTAAGGCACCGATCCCAATAAGACCCCAATCTCAATGGGACCCCAATAACATTCTCACCCGGATCCCGGTGCAATCCCTTTTCCCGATGTGATCCATTACCCGGTGGGATCCCGTTTTCTTGTAGCTACTATTGCTGGGGGAATCCAGATCCAGGTCGGATCCCGATCCCGTAGGTGTCTTGAGCCCAATGGGATCCAGATGTCAGTTGATCCCGATGGACTACCGATCCCGTTAGGATACCGTACACTTTTGGATCCTGTTCCACCTAGGCACTCTCTTTTCCGATGTTATCCCTTTTCCCGATATGATCCCGATGCCAGTTTGATCGCTTTACGCGATGGGATCATGATGGGATCGCGTAATCGATGGTTACCAGTTTGCAGTTAGATCTCGATCCCCCTTAGGGACCTATTCCTCTTTGGGATCATTCTTGGTGCTATTTTGTTCAAATAAGATTTTAAATTCAATTATATATATCATCGTAGAACATTAAAGAACTATCTGGGACATTCTAGATTAAATTTAATAACATGCTCGAAACATGTATAGAACTACTTTTCTAAGTATTTATTTTTCAAACACCAAATATTCTACAACTAATTTTCACTACTATGACTATAGAACGGTTTAATTAAAATAGGGGCCCCGTGGGGGCTTATTTAATAAAGTACCTGTTTAGTTATGTCTGAGATGGGGGGGCCCTACAAATATCAGACGCATAAATAAGAGAGTTAAAATTTAAAACTGGTCCCATTAAAATTTACTTACAAAGCCATAGATATAGCTTTTTAAAATTATCGAGGTTTATAGAAAAATCTAAAATGGATTTTTATTAGTTTAAAAACCACCGATATTTCAAAGGGACAATGAAGTGTATTGCTACAACGCTAGGTCTATATCCATCAATTCCTATAGAAAATATAGTGTTGTCTAAACATATTGAAATTTATATGGCTAAATAAGAAAAATGAACCGGGGCCCAAGCCCAGAGAAATGGATATTATGCGTTCAGTACACCTGGATATTTGAATATGGATATTAAAGTACATTTGTACTAAGTTTGGTCAAGATCCATCAACTCATGTAGGAGTATTTGTTGTTATTTTTGTATACAGATCATGTAAGAAAAAATACATGTAAAACATGTAAGGGCCCCCGGCCCCAAACGGAGTGTTATAAAATGTTCATAGCCCCTTAAGAGTTCCTTCCGGATAATGATGGATATATGTGTCAAGTTTGGCCAAGATCCAACTATTCATATAAAAGCCTTTGTAGAAAAACCCCACAAACAAACAAATAAATCCACAAAATTTCACTTTTATATATATCTAGATATGATACAATTTTCGTACACAATTTGCAAGATTATTAATTGCAAACATGCTGACTATTCATTCATATTAAATCCTTAAATCCTTAGATGAAGGGATCGAAATCAAGTGGACTACAGTTTTATAGTCACAGTAGTCCACTTTTTTTTCTTTTTTTTTTTACAATTGCATGAGTTTTATTGATCCATTATCTGGAAATGTGCTAAATGAAGCTTGAACTCATCATAAACAGGTAAATCAACAGAATAAAGTCAACAATTAAGAAGAAATTAATTTAATACCAAATAATGATATCTGGTAATCACCATCTTTGACATCACACTTACAATAATTTATTTCACTTGACAAAAAAACTCAACTCTTGGGGGGAAATAACTCCTTAATAAAGAAGTTTTGCAATATATATATTTAAAAATCACCCACACAAAGCTTACATACCTTTTTGGCATTCTTGCTTTCACACCAACTACACTTACAATAAAGTAGAATTTTCAAACCAATCACACATAAAATAAAGTAAAAAGTAGACAAACATCCCAATGTGTCTACAATGGAATACAGCAGATATTGGACCACAAGTACAATGCATGATTGTAGTCACAGGGCATGAAAAATTGCAACATAGCAAGTTAACTGGTGACTTATCTGTGTCTCAGAGCAAATATATTATGACAAATGTGGGCTATGTTGAAACATAATTTTTGAAAATTGGCTTAAACAAGTCATGTTCCTAAAGAAAAAGTTCCATTCAACCTAATGTTTGGATCAAAATTTGCCAAAATCATCCCATTCTAAGACATAAAATGACACTTAATTCTCAAACATGTGAAGGTAATGAAGCTAACATGAGAGACCCTAATGCATAATGATAATGAAAACAACCTATTTGTCAGTGCTGCCTATAATTCATCTTTTGGTACAGATTCTTCCTCTGCCTCATCTTCACCTTCATCCTCTGGCTCTTCATCATCATCATCATCTTTTTTAGTAGAATCCTCCTCATCTTTCCTCTTCTTTTCTTCCTCCTCTCTCTCTGTTTTCTTTCCTCGTCATCCTGAGCATCTTTCATTGATTTCTCAAGATCCTTAGACTTGCCCCATGTATCCCTTGCAAACTGTTAAGCATAATCTACGTCATCTGTAATTAGGAAGTTGTCAAAGATGGTTCCAGACTTCACCTGCCACAAGTCCAAGCCAATAGCACCAAAATCTTCATATCTGTACAGCTTATCATCCGGTTTGTATTCAGGATTGTCAATCTCAGGATGAACCCACTTGCCCTTGTAGTCTGGGTTGTCAATTTGCTTAGGTTTCCACTCTCCCTTAAATTCTGGGTTATCAATCATAGGTGGTTCCCATTCCCCATCCGTCTCGTCATCCCAGTCATCAGGCTTCTTGGCTGTAGGTTCTGGGATGTGTTCAGGCTTGTTCCAGTCTTCTGGTTTGGTGTCACTCAGATCATCAATTTTCTAACGCTCATCCTAGTCGTCTGGCTTTTTGGCATTGAGATCAGGAATATTCTTTGCAGGCAAGAAATCCCAGTCACACTCCGAATCTCCACTCTCAACCTTCTCATTGTCAATTTTGACCTTATACGTGTTATCCGGCTTAACAATCAATGTGTACACATGTGTGTAGACATCATCCTTGCATCTGATGTCCTTTTTGACTAACATGTTCTTTCCGTTATAGTTGAAAATAACATGAACTTTTTTGGTTCCGGGTCCACAAATATCTGGTCGAAACATAATATTGTAAGGAGAATCTCCATGCATGTCAGTCTGATCTAGATCACTTGAGAACAGTTTCACATAGCCTCCTCCACAATCGATATTCTGTTCATACTTCACCGAAAACTGAACAACAAGAGTCTTTCCCTCATTGCTGAACTTGTCAAATTTAGCAGGTAACCCATAAAATCTAGCATCCTGAGTTGTCTTCAAACCCTTTTCCCTTTCTTCATCTCCATAAAATTTCCCAGCAGACAACTCAAATTTTCCAATGTCTGATTTGTGTTTAGACTCCACCCATCTTTCTGTCCATTTTGCACCATCAGCAAATTCTTCCTTGAAGAAAACTGTAGGGTCTGCAAATGTGACACTTACTAAAAATAAAAGCAGAAGGACCTTCATTTTAGTTGCATATAACAGAAACCCTGGTATAACAAATCGACTATCTCAACTTTCTCTTTCGTGGTCAATATTTTATAACACTTTCATCTTTTGTTTTATCTTTGGAATTAAAATTAAATTTATTTTATAAACGTTATCACATTGTTTCCTTAAAACTACATAAGAAAGTAAGAAAAGAATACAAATTCGTTTGAAAACAGTTTGTTTTTAAAATTTTATTGGAACTATTATACTTTTAAATGACAAAATTACAAATTAAAAATATGTCCCAAAAAATCTAAGATATATCTCACTCTATATATAAATATTTTTTTTAAAATCTATAATTATCTCCCTTTAAAAAATGGTGTGCATATACTTTTCTATTTTTCTTAAATATTTAAATTTAAAAAAAAACAGACTCAAACTAACACAGAAAGATGGCAAAACATTGAACAGTCAATAAAAAACATTATTGCCAGACATAAATACACAGCACACACAATTTTTGGCCGCAGCACAATCATAAACACATATGCAATTCCTAAAACAATATACACAGGGCACAAATGGGGACCTCCACCAGCCATTTTAAGGCAAATCAATTTACACATCAGGAATTACACATTTCAAGAAACAATACAAAACATTCAAAATACAACATTAATCCAATCTAAACAAGAAGGGGGGATTAATTTACAAGACGTGCACACCAAACTAGAAGCACTTAGAATCAAATTTATAGGACAAGCCATTAAAAAGAAGCAGGACCATTTATTGACAACTGATTACTTTGGGATAAGGTTAGGAAAGTTAAGAATAATTGATAACAACACAAACCATTACATGGGAAGAAAACAATCGGATTTTCATGTGGCATGCATTCAAGCTTTAAAAGGCAACGAAACACTTACACACAAGACAATTAAAAAAGTGTACACACATTTAATAAAGAAACAAGCAACACCACTCTACAATAGGATAAAATGGACACATTTTTATGGAACAATAAACACTAAGAATACATTTAAAAATAAACACATTAAAGAAATCGCAAATAAAGACAACACAAAAATGCTTCCTTTCTAAGACATTATGACTACACGTAGATACAATTGGTTATCCTTTAACAATAAATTAATATAATTTTTTTTAAATAAATAAATTGAAAATTTCATGAATGAGGCAAAAGAGAAAAAGTAAAGTAAAATAACGAAATATTTTTTTTTCAAAATTTTAAATAGTGTTCTTATTAACCTATAAGGGTAACTAATTTGTTACAAAAATTATTAAAAATAATTATGTGTCATTCATTAATTTAAAGAATTTATGAAACATTGCAGCTATTTCCCTTGAAAATTTACTAATGACTGTCATATATATTTATTACATTTAAACATTTGTAATAAAACAATATTTTAAATTTAGAAAATATTTTTTTTTTATAACATGGAAGCTAAAAGTGTAATTCCTTTTTAGTCAAATAACTTTTAGTTATTCTTTTTTAAATTTGTTTAAATTAATGTATATATATTTTTAATTTTTTTTTGCATAATTAAAATTTCGATTGTGGCATCAACAGAAATTTTGTAGTATGAATTATTAAAAAAATCAATTTGATATGAGAAAATGTTGAACAAACTAGCCTTTAGCTTGATAAGAAAATGATGTCAATGTTTAATAGTCCAACTCAGAGCTAAACAGTAATTATCAAGTACACCAGTGATTGCAAGGAGTGTAGTGTAATAGTTTTAGTTTCAACTTAGTCTCAAAACTTTGTTAAGGTACTTACATTACAAAAAAATAAAAACAACCTCTTATTAATGTACATAGTTTTTGAAATGTTGGCGATTCCTACAACCAGAAACAAGTATTACATTTCAATGAAAAGGACAATGCGCGCTATTAAGAAAAGGGACTAAATTTGTTATTGAACAAACTGAAAATGTCTTCCATTGAAAATATTAAGGATATTTTTTCAGCACCAACAAATTAACTATAATTAAGAAAGTGAGGTCAAACATAAACTTCAGAAGATGAGAAGCAATTTACATTTTTAAACATAATATGTAATGGAAGGATAGGTTTTGGTCCCTATCTTGGACCTATACATGATAAACTCAAATTCTGATGACACTTTTCTTCAAACGCTATCTATGTATAAAACAGACAGAGAGGAAATCCTACTATTAAACTTGTATGGGAAATTCCTTTCGGTAAAGCAAAAAGGTTATCAGACTATGATATGTTTCCTTCAAACAGTACATTATTTCTCAGTCTTCTCTACCATCAGCTTAGTACCAGACTATGTTATGTGTCCATCAATCTGTACACTATTTCTTATACTTCTCTACCATGAGCTTTAAAACCAGACTATTTTTTTATGTCTATCAAGCTTTGCATTGACAACTAGACTTTGCTAACATTAGCTACAGCCTAATTACAATCATGAAGGACAAAAACAACTTAGGAAAAATTACAACCTCAGAGTCCTTTTTCAGTCAGTAAATGGAAAGAATCCTATCACCTGTGGCAAGATCTTGCAAACTATCATAAGGTAATTAACACGAATGCATATTTTGTCAGGTCCATTGAGGAGATGGGGAGTTGACGTTTCGGGTCATCGTTTGTGTTACAGATTATGCAACCCAGTTTTTAAATACTCGACTTGACAACACATCATTGTCAATGATTTTCTTTTAAGCAATACCTCCTGGGCCATAATAGTGTTTTGTATTATCTACTGGTGGGTAATGGCTTTTTCAACATCTCTTAGTCAAAGTGGTGAGACTTTTGTGGACCGATTCTGTTTGTGCGCCAGCATTCAAAGTGAAAGGTTAGATATGAACGTCTTTCTGGCTTTTCCTGCTCACCTTACCACTGTTGGTATTCCTAACATACCTACCTTAGTATTGCCTTTGTGTATATACTTACAAATATATGTAATTTTCTTACTAAGTCCTTGCATAAACTTGTATATTTATTTATAGTTTAGATTCATAATAAACGGATCTTTATCAAAATACACATAATTTTAATCAATGACTCACTCAGACAACGTCACGAGAAGACACTTCAACCAGAGTATTTAATATGTCTACATTTACAATTTAATTTTCCGCCTAACTTTAAAATATAACAAGAATATATTGATTAACGCATATTATATTTATATATATTATATGTTTATATTTTGTTGGGTTTGAATTGTATTAGGGGGGGGGTTAGTCTAATTTAAAGAATCACATAGACGAAAGATAAATGCCATGAAAATATCACCACATTTTAAACTATTCAAGAATTTATGACGCCATTATTTGAAATCTATACTAATAAAAAGGCAAATCCCTCAGTCACTGATTCATCACTAACTCTACAAATTCTCCTTTAGATAGAAGCCTACGATTTGGCAGGCTTATTCCTTACAGCTTACTTACACATTTAACCCGGTTTAATTTTAAAACTCTATCCATACGGTCAAAACAGGAGGCCCCGAATTGTTTGTTTTTTTACCTATAGGAGCTCTATAAATAAAATTAACAACAAATACTCCTACCGGATAGATGGATATTTACCAAACTTAGCACACATACACTTGAGTATCCATACTCAAATAAAGAATGTTACTAAACTTATAATATTCTTACCTCTAGGGCCGGTTGCCCCATTTCATTTTATTTCTAATATAAGCTTAATAAATATGAATAAGCTTGATACTCCTAAATGAATAGATGGATCTTTTCCAAACTTATAACACATACACTTGATTATCGATATTCAAATACCGGAGGGTACTGAACTAATAATATCCATCTCTCTGTGGCCGGGGCCCCATTTCATTTTTCTTATATAAGCTATATAAATATCAATAGGCTTTGACAACACTAAGGGCTCTATATAAATAGTTGGATCTAGAACTAGATTTGTAAGAATACACTGCGTATAGCATTCCTACAACGTTTTATCGCATTCTGAAAATGGTGTTAGAGCGTATGCGAAAAATATTTTTTAGAAATCGTATAAAAGAGACAAGAAACGACCTTTGGGTCATTAGCCAAAAACGCAATATATTGAAAGGGTTGTAATGACCCAGAAAAATGCAGGGGCAAAAAGACAACAACTCATCAAAATTGTATTGCAAGCGAATTAGTGATGTAGTAGCGCATACTTCACATGCATATATACGTACATACATACAGAAAGACATACTTTTTTTTTAGATACATGGGTGTTGTGGAGACTACATAGATTGATAAGAGGAAAATAATCTAAGACAAAAGCGTACAGTCAATGGTTACACAAAAAGAGTTAATTTAGTTTACGTCCCACTGGTCCTGGATTTAAGAAATGATCATTATTAAAGCTACTTTTGTCATTTCCCACCCGAAAGTTTAAAATTCTGCCTCAAAATTTTCTAAAATAAACAACAAATTTATTTTGAGTTTGCCTTGCTGTCATTAGCATCCTACATTTCTGCACCCCTTCCAACACACTTATCTATGTAATGGTTTAAGGGTGATTATAAGTTTCAGCCAAATGATTACCCTGGGACGTGCTACAAACGGAATAAATTATGTTAAGAACTAGGCGCAAAAATGCCGCTCACAAAACTTCAAAAAGGTCCTTCCATGTTACAAAAGTATGATAGAAACTTGGAATTCAAGTATAATACAAAACACACCTTTTTATTTTCATATAATTTTAAAAACAAATTCTAGCGTTCAGGCTCTCCACCGATTAAGATTTATCGGCACCCACAATTTCTTCGCTACTTTCCGATGAAGATGATCGCCAACATTTGTATTGATAAACACAAATCTAAATGGATTAACTACTATTCTTGCCACAAAGGGCGGCCACATATGTTCCACAGTGTTAACGTCAGAGAACAAAATTTATTTTTTACGCCACTCTCATTTCCAACTCTCAAACCCAGTATTTTCAACCAGTAAAAACTATCAGAGAGCATCTTGTCCTTTCCAACTCCAGTATGGCGCCCTGGGACGTATGTCCAATGTGGC